CTGCCACAAATAAAGTTCCTCTTTAAAAGACAACCATCTCTGTAGTGTGGAGTTTTGTGGTAGTGCACATCACATCTCCATAGCCCCCAGCACACCCACAATCCTCCATTCTGCTTCCCCACAGATACGATGTTCAAAACACTGGCCTCTTCACCCAAAGACACAACCCCCCAACCTTAAAACCTGGAACAAATCAACTAATCAAGATAAGTCACTTAATAAAAATGTTTTAAAACCACATAATCTATCCTAAGCATATGTTTTATTGTTATTGATTTTAAATGGCAGGCACCCAGATACTACAGGGATGAATGGCAGGGTAAAATTCTAGGATGGATGGATTTGTGCATACATTAATAAAGCCACAATAAGCATGCAAACCTTTACCACAAAAAAATAAAGACAAGAAATAAACCCAGTGGGCTAAATAGCCAGTATCAAGAGGCAGTGATGTATCCTTTAGATCAGAAGATGGAAGTCCAGGACCATGGCGACCAATAGCATAACTCACAATGGGTACAATGCATGATGGAGACTAGGAGGGGAAGAAGGAATCTGAAGAGCAAACAGCCACAAACAGAAAACCAATCACAAGTACACCTTGAAGTACATATATCAGAAGCAGAAGGTCTTTGGAGGGTGGGTAGGTCTGCCGAGGTCTTATTCTAGCAACACTTCTGGCAGAAAAAGATGAAGCACTGGAACAAGCTTGCAAATGAGTGAGCAGCACTGAGCCAGGACAGCATCCATACAAGGTTTCTGAAGGACTGGAGAAGCCAGATGAAAGGTGCAGCCACACCTGGACTGGGCAACCATAGGATGCTGCAGAGGGGCAGGTCAGAAAGCCTTACCTCAACACCAGGTGAACTGAGGAAAGGGATGATCCCAGGGGGAGGAACGAAACACAGACCTGGATGTCGTATGTGAGGAACCTCATGGCATGGCCCCTGGGAAGTATGACTGTCCCAGAGGTTTCATAGTTTCATGGTTGGTAGGGTCAGAAGGGACCTGAGCAGATCATCAAGTCTGACCCCCTGCCATGGGCAGGAAAGCATGCTGGGGTCATACGACCCCGGCAAGGTGTCTATCTAGCCTCCTTTTGAAGACCCCCAGGGCAGGAGCCAGCACCACTTC